TCTACTCTGTCCAGCGAGAGAAAGCGCCGCACACCGATCTAATCTGGTTCCCCCACTCGACACCCTACATAAAATAACCGCTTTTGTTGGTGGGCTAACGAGGAGGGATTTGCAAAACCGGTGCATTCTCTTGCTGGACAGAGTATAGTAATTCACTTTTTTCCTCATGAACGTTCACTTTGGGTTGAAGTTTCAGATTGAGTTGTCTTAATCTTTCGGATACTTCCTGAAGCTTTTTTGAATGGTCTGAAATATCTTCAATATATATTATGATATCATCTAGGTATACAAATGTTGTTAATTAATTTAGCACTGTCTAAACGGTTTTCATCAATCTGTGAAATGTAGTGGGTGCTCCTTTTAGTTCAAATGGTACCTATTGGAAATCATAGTATCCTTTCTCGGTAAAAAATGTAGTCTTCTTTCTATGGACTGGATCCATCTTTACCTAGTGATTATCTTGAGTCAAATCTAAGGTACTGTAATACCTTGATTTTCTGAATCGGTCTAATATATACAATTTATGGTTGCGAGTGAATATGTGTCTCCACTATATATATGGTCGAGTTTCCTAAAATCAATACTGATACTGGACTACACCGTCTCGATCTTGTTTGTTAGGGAAAACATAAAGGGCGTATTCCAAGGGCTCTTACTAGGTGTTATTATTCCGTCCTTTTCTCATTGTTTCAGTTGTCTGTTTATTTCTTATTTATGTTGAAAGGATATCTGTTCAGTCATTGATTGATTGACTGGGCTGTCGTAGATTTATTTATCTCATGATAAATCGCTTCTGTACTTGTTTTATTTAACTCCTTTTAAATAAAATATAATCGCATATTGATTACAGTTTGATACATTCATGTTCCTCACAATTTAATTGATTGGTTAACAGGACCTTTCTGAGAGTGTTTATATTACTACTTTTGTGCTAAGTTTCTACTTGATTTTTTAACATATGTACAATGGATGTATTAAATTTTTTTATATTAAATTTCTATGTGTGAAAAGTTGGTAGTTTAAATGTTTCTTCTTTGGGATTTATGACAGTCACGAGAACGCACCCATCTCGTACATTATTGCCTGTGTTACGGTACATTCACACCTCATCAATGGTCTGCGGGGGATCAATAGCGTTTCTCCTTCATAGCTACGTAAGTTTCAGCACGTGTTGGAATGATAGTGTCATCTGTGGGCAGTGTAAGTTCGTTGATTTGGTAGTTAATAATAGTCTGGTTCCCAGTTATTCAAGGTTTTCCGAGGATTAAATAGTAGGGAATTTCAAAATTGTAGTTCCAACTTTCAAGTGCTTATGCTACCTGGACTGAGTATCCTAGTGTATAATGTTCGACAATGGTATTCTGAAGAGCCTCTACTTTCTTGGGGTAAGTTAAAATGCACATTGCCAATTTTTGTTTTATTGCATATGAGGACTGGTGTGGGTAGTGGGTTATTCTTTGTGGTTCTAAATTAGATTTAAGAAGATCTCTTAGTTTTACTAAGTCTCAGAAGTCTGATATCTGACCACTTATCGAGCTTAACTGGTTAATCGAGTTTCAATCGCCTGTATCATTCATGAAATAGCTGTAGACACCATTAAAGATTCAGCAAAATCTCTCATTTCTCTAGGAATACTTCTTCTTGTTCCGTATTTTCGGAATTTAGTGATTTTGGTAATATTCTGATAGCGTCTTGTAGCTTAATTTGATTTTTATACATTGCCTCGGATATCCTAGGGACATTTCGTAGCCTGAGTACTTCTTGTACTTTTCGGTTAATTATATGTGAAAATTGTTATTTTATCATGTCTTACATTCCAAAGCTTACGCAATATTTCTTAATAATATTTAATTACCTCAGATATTGTATTCCGTAGATTTTATGTTTTAATTCTTTTTAGTTACGAAAACGTCCGTGCGTTTGAAACCGTAGATATTGGAAGTGTAGAAAAAATCTGAAATAACTTATTAAGTCCTGGATATAGGACTCATTACACAACTTCAGTGCATCAATTGAATTTTTTGGTTTTATTTCCAATTTTTTAAGTTTCCTTTGCCACGGTTTGAACTCTTCTATTATTGAATACTATTTAAATCTTCTTCGTAAAATTCAGCTAATTTTTTTAATCCTTCTTTTGTAGAATTCTCGTCGAAAAGAGAATGAACTTGACAAAATATCAATATGTTTGATTGACTTATAAAAGAATCTAAGTATGGAATAAAAGCCGATAGGTAAAAAAATTCTTCAGGATTCTTAGTGTGTACGTTTATTCTATAATAATCTTTTATTAATTCTTTGCATTGTCATTGTCACATTGAACTTGTCAGAAATTTTTCTCAGCGTGTCTTTTATAATCTTCTAACTCGATCAAAGTATCTTGAGCTAAATCCATCGCCAATCATAAATTAGTATTAATTTGTTGAAACTGTTTTGATAGTGGGAGTCCAAGTCCAAATACTTTCAAAATTGTAATTACCGTAATTATAAATTCTGGTTGGAGAATTGAATTTCGAAAAACGCTAGCTTGATTTGACGTGTCTGTATGATCCCCTTCGTAAATTTTTTCAAGACCTTCTTCTACACATTCAAACAGTTTTAAAAAATCCTTAACTAAATGATATCGTTCAATCCACCTAGTTTCACAATTTCTCTTCAATGATTTTTTAGAAATATTATTTTCCGACTTTTTAGTAACTTTCGACACTACAGCTTTTCGTTTCGGAAAAAAAAGAGTCTCTCAATTTTCTTATTGTTCCCATACAGTTGCGTATTTGGAAAACGTTACTTAATACTTATACAGCAAGATTCAAGGAATGAGTGGAGAAATGTACATATAAAGCTAAAGGATGTTCTTTTTTTATATAAGCTTGAATTCCATTATATTTCCCAGCCATTACGGCTGCACCGTCATACCCCTGACCTCGAAGATATTGTGTGTCTATACCAAACTTCTGAGATTGTCAAGTATAAGTCTTGATAAGCATTTTCTAGATTCGTCAGTGGTTGGAACAAATTGTAGAAATACATGTAGAATGTTACATATTATAAGACATACCACATACAAAAGTAGCTTAATTTTGTTATTAATATATACACAATATAACCACTTAAGTAGGCCAAAAGGTAGAAAAAACTAATTAAAAATATTCAACAATTTTTCTAAAGCATGACCGTGGAAACTTATTATTATTTCAAAAATAAATGGCACGACTTAAATATTATATAAAACACCTTAATTGTCTATATTTAATGAAGAATTTAGTTTAATAAAATCCACTTGGTAATTTCCTAACTGACACAATGTCTAAAATCAAAATAGATCGAATCTAAATCCTTCAATTTGGTCTAACTTGTCATTTGAATAACATTGAGTATATTTGATGAAATCAATATCTGACATGTCTGCTTTTCGGAAATGTATATGCTGACGGTGTGCTATATATATGTCGAACGGAAGCCGCGAGTTCTCAAACAGGTCTTGTACGTTGTGTAATGTGTAATTACAGACCTTTGAATATTTGTAGAGATTATTTTAATACTAATACGAGTAATACGACACGGCCTAATAATTAATACGGTCGATAAGTTCCTCGTAAGTTGTTGTTAATGAAAATTAAAAAAAAAGTTGAGCTTAAATCCACAATAATTTTTTATATTCGTTTATACTCAGAATTTTGACAACATTTATAAAAATCACGAAAAGTAGCAAATAATTTTGAGTTAGAAATTCATTAACAATTTTCTTTTTGTATTCTAAATTTCTAAGATTTAAGAAATTATTACAAGATTCCTTACAAGTCTGCTACCTTTATCAAAAAAAAAAAAAATATCTACTGGAAAGTCAAATTAAATTTGATGAGCATTTATTGAAGTTGAAATTTTTACAACATTGGATATTCACTCGATTTCTCTTTTAGCGATTTTCCTTTTTTACAAATTCAAAAACAAGTTACTGTAGACACTTTAAATTTACACCAAATGTTTATTTCATCAATTTATATATTTGATAAAATGTTCAAAATATTTTGACTCGTTTTAAGCAGTTGAAGGACATTTTCAATTTTCATTTTCTTCATTTATTTTCTATAAATGCCAATAAAATTGTATTGGTTGGGTCAAAAATCATGGAAATTTAATACAAGACTCTTAAAAACTTGTTACAATAATAGTTGAAAAATATTAAAAATACATAGGCACCATTTTTTTTTATAGGCATTTAAAGTTCGAATTTCGATCATATTTATCAAATTAAAAATTTGAAAATTATTTTGTAGTTAAAAATATATACAATTTTAAATTGTTATGATAAAAATGCAGATTTAACTGTATTTTTATATTTTTTAGATTTTTTAGTTACGGAAAACCTGCTTTAATAGAACTTTATTTTCAATTTTTATAGCTAAGGATTAAAAATTTAAAACAAAATTCTACTAAAGCAGGTTATAAAAAATCTAGAAAATATACAAATACAGTTATTTTTTACAGACATTTTAAGTTCAAATTTGGACAAAATAACATATTAACTCATAGAATAATGTTTGTCGCTTTGTTGTAATTTTATTCCAAAACACCCCAATTCTCCATAATTTTTTTTTTTATATCAGCATCATTGATAATTTAAGAATAATATTAATTGAACTTAGAGGCTACCATATTCATAATAAGTATTAACAGTATAAAATACTCTAGACTGACACACCGTTTCCGTTCAGAATCGTTTTTTGTAAACTATAATATGATATAATTGAATTCAAATTTAATACCATCCATTACAGCAACCACCCAGACACGTTACGTACAGTACAGCGACATCCACTTACCCCCTTTTTTTTTATTATTGAACTTCGTATGATATTTATTAAAATTTAAAAGGTTGGTTTTTATTATTATTATCACTATTATTATTTTTATTATTACTTTATTTTTATGTATTAATTTATAATAATATGTGGATATATAATTTATACTCAACAGATAGAACACCTGGGCTGTTGTATGATTGGTCTAAATTTTTAATTAGAAAATAAAACTGATGTCAAATGAAATACAACAAAATATAGCAAAATACAAAAAAATTTTTTTTTATTTTCATGGTCTTTTTTACGTCTACCATGTAGTATTGTGGGCAATCGGCACGCAGCACAGTGCCACAAACCGTTGCAATTTGCAAACGTCTGACGAGTGACCATAGTCTGTGCTAGTGACGTAATGGTAGACTATACAAGTTCCACTGAAAGAACTAGCAGTCACGAGGTTCATAATGAGAACATTACAAGGTCAAAAAATTGTTATCGTCGTGCGGCCATTCATATCTATAGCCGTGGCACTAGTATCAACATTGTTAATATGATCAAATCCATCTTGGCACCACTGCCCACCAACTCAATATAATTTTTGGACAAACACTCCATCACTCCTGCCAACATATATCCAGTCATGATAACATGCTCCCAAATACGTCGACGATTAAAAAGAAATTAAATACTTATTTATATTTGAGTTAATATAATATATAAGTCCTTTAAAATTGTGGTCCGTACTACGCAAGGTGAATAAAAATTTGTGTTTTAACTCTGCCACTTGGTTTTCTGTTACTGTTATCATTATTGTAATATCCTATATTATTACAACCGTGGTTGTACTCGTGGTTACACTTATCTACAGTCGCACTTCCGTAGTTCCGCGAATACAATGAATGTATAGTTCTTTGTCAGTGAGATATTTTTCGCGCTACCATGAGTATTCCATATTATATTATCTTACATTCGTGTCTCGTGGTTTCAGTGGACAGTGAGCAAGTGATGGCGAATTAATACAGTTGATTGATTTTGCTATTCTACTTTTTCTTTGAATATTGATGTTGATATTGTTGTGAAATGTGATAACCACTTTTTTATATACTTACATTTTGTTTATATTTTATTGTCACTAAGCGTTTTGAAGAAAATGTCTAAATACCGGGACTTCGGAATAGCCAAAGAAAAATTAAAGAACATATTTCTTGGTATACAAGACTACGGCGCCAGTGCATCTGAACATATAATTGGTAGATACGTAATTATTATTATATATCATCATTATTGTCGAAGTGAAACTTCTTTACATAGGGTTCGAAAAAAAAAGATGATCGCTACCTATATTATATATTATCACTATAGAAGTTTCACTTCGTCCGCATGTATTTGCAACACTCAGTTTTTCATTATATAATTGTAAATTGTAATTCATTAGTTTCTACTAGAACAATGATTTTGAAATATCTAGTTTATTAACTTCAACAATTTTGTGTAATAGTGAAAATGCTAGTTCATCTGAAAAAAAAAATGTTGTTATTTTTGTTTGTATACAAAATCTTAAATCTGTATACCAAAATTTTGTTTTAACAAGAGAAAAAACAGAAATCTAAATTGTACTTAATTATTTTGGGAGGAGCGTGGATAGATGTTAGTTAAAAATCTATGTTTACGTCATATGTTTTCCTGCTGTGACAGTTTTCGTTCAGGCTCTGAAAGGAAATCATACTTTTATGGTTTTTTAGCATAGGCATAGAGACTTAAAGATTTTGAAGAGTTAGGTACTACCTACCAATAGATGGGCCTTATAAGTACTTTGGGATCTGGGAATAAAGTACCTTCAGAATATTTCTCATTTATAATTGAAACTGAACATTTATTCATAAGTTATCTTTGTTTGCCTTTTGAGTCAAAAATAGACAGCCATCATAAATACTGAAATATTTTTTTTTCACTTGTAAAATGTATTTAGGTTGTATTGCCACAGGTATTTTTTTTTGATAATTTTTCCTTTGGTATCTTTGGCTACCATTAATATTTCATTATAAGTTATTCATCGAATTTCCTAATGTTTATTTTATCAGTATTAACAGTAAAACTGTGTTAAACATTATTATAGTATTATATTTTTTTCTTTCCTTAATTGTGGTTATTTGGCCATCACTATTCTCAGTGGTTAACTATAATAATATTCAACCAAACTTTATTATAATATTTAAAAAAAAAAAATCATAAAATTATTAAATTGTTGCCATGTTTTGAAGTTTAAAACTGTGTAAAAACAGAGGTAAAAACTATAGGTACCTACTGCATTTTCATAATATTATCGATGTAATATCCTGTAATATTAATAGAATTCTATATTTCTTTGTTTATTAATCCTAAAATTATGATTTTATATGAATATATTTTTTCAGATTTGAGTGAGACATGTCCTGATGTGATCGATGGAAATGAATTAAACCATTTATTAGAGTATAGACTTGAAGTCGATGCAATGTATGAAGTATTCACACATACTCGTATGAAAGTTGCTGTTTTTGGCAGGTTTGTTTTTATTTTTGGTTTGTATGTTTTCAGTGTTAAACTAACAAATATAATAGGTACCTACCTATTATTGGCTTTTGTAAAACTAATAAATTTCATAAAAATAATTATTTTACTGTACTTTCAAATTTTTTTTATGTATTGAAATTGTAATTATTAAATTAAGTATGTATCTTGTAAATATATTTTTAAATTTCATCCACAGGCGTAGTTAATGAACTTTATTGAATTTTCTTGTACAAAGTATAAAATAAGAATACTGGAAGTTTATTAAATATTAGTTTTATTAGTAAGATAATTAATTAATTAAAACAATATTTAGAGCAAGCAGTGGAAAGAGTACAGTTATAAATGCAATGTTGGGAGAAAATGTCCTTCCAAGTGGTAGTGGTCGTGCAACTAACTGTTTTCTGCAAGTTGAAGAGTCTCATACTGGTAATGCATATTTATGTACTGAAGGTTCATTATCTATACAACACAGTGTAGAAGTAAGTCATCGTAAATTTTATTATTTATATGATTATTGATAAGCTAATGTTTTATTTTTAAAATAATCAATAATACATTTTTTTTCAGTCTGCTACTGATTTGGCATACACATTGAATAGTTATATTAAACCGGATACAGAAGAGTTGGTACACGTGTGTTGGCCAAAAGAAAAATGTAGATTATTAAAAGATGATGTAGTATTAGTTGACTCTCCGGGAATTGACACTACACCATATTTGGATGAGTTTATTTATGGTCATTACATTGATGCTGATGCTTTTGTGTTAGTTGTTAATGCTGAATCCGCATCAATGGATGCAGTAAGTATATTATGCTGTTTGTATACATTAATTTATTAATTTATATTTATTTTTGCCTACATTGTAGTCTGTAGGCTCTAAACAACCATTGCCTTATTTAAGGGAAAACAATAGGTACAGCTACTCCAGTTGACAAATATTTGGTGGTTATTTATAAGGTGGTTGCAAATTTGTTTACCAACATTTTTGCAGTGAATACAAACTTATTCATATGTTTGAATTCACTGTGAGTTATTACAACTTTGAAAATTAAATTATTTTACTTAAGTAATAAGTTATATTTTAATAAATAGTGGCACATTAAAAAAAATTTGCAGTTGAAAAAGTTAAATTAAGGACTTATGGTCCTGATGTTTTTGATAGTGACAATTAAATTTAAGTGTTATTGGGAGGAAATTATTTTTTATAATATATTTTAGTACAAAAGGTTTGGTCACCTTCTTAAAGCAAGGTGTGTGTTAGAAGAAAAAAGTTCTTATAATAGAAGTATATACTTAATAAATTTGATACATCATAATTATTGCATTTTATGTAGTTATTTAATCTTTTAAAGTGTTATAGATCTACGATAATCAAATTTATATACTCATAAATAAATAAGCATTTGAAATGATTATTTGTGCTATATTTATTATTGTATTAACATTTATACTAAATTACTTACATAAATTAATTGCAAGATATAAGTAGTTATTAGATAGTTCTAAGTTCAAAAGGCTTACTAAAATTTGTCATGACAATATTAATTTTTTTTTATTCCTAGTATTATACCATTTATAGATGTATGTGTATATTTTTATAGGCTAATAATAGTACATTTTTTTATACATCTCATCACAATTAACCACAAAATCATTATACATTTGTCTTGTAGTGTAACTACCAGGTCATTTTAAGATGAAGTTAATTATTTGATTATAAATAGTTGTTTTTAATTAACTTGAATGAATATTAAATATGAGTACCCCTCTCCACTTATTTCAATAGTCTAATTCAGTGATTCCCCTCTTGTGGGCATTTTTTATTTTGAAGGTTGCGTTTTTATGAGGGGGGCTCACTATCATTTTATTTTTTTTTGTTTATAAGTGATTGTAATGAAATGTATAACTGCGTAGAATAAAAACTAATTTAAAATACCAAATGTAATCCACAGAATTATGTAGGTATAATAATATGCGGTTTGTCATAAATGCTGTTAATAAAATCAAAGCTAAATCATTGAATGACCGTTTGTTTCAACAATTAGGCCACAAACATTATAAAGACTTTGAACGCCTTGTTCTACACACCGAAGTTAGGTGGCTATCAAAAGGAAATTGTTTGATGTGCTTTTATAATTTGTTTCAAACTATACTAGAATTCCTGCAGCCACTTTATAAACAACTTTACGATGAATTACATAAAAGAGAGACTCTAAAACTTATGCTGACATCTATTGAGCCAGATATAATTTCGTTAGCAGGAAACCATCAACCTCGGGGCAGTCATTAGTCACATAAGTAATTTTTGTGTTATAATTTTATATTAGCAAATTTGAAATCAAATTATATAATTCATATTATTAGTAGGTATTTAAATTTAAAATTAACTAAACTGTAGCGTTAAAAAGTTAAATGATATTCTGTCTTAAATTAAATAGCTTATTAAAAAATAAAAGGTTGGGAAACAATGGTCTAATTAATAATTGATTGCACAATTGAAATGTTTAATATTTTTAAAGTTTTCTAATCAAATATATCTCTTAAGTTCCTAAAAAGAAAGAAAACAATTTTCTTATTATTTATACTACATAATTATGATTTTGTGATTTCCACATTATCTATGTTCAAACTTAAGTAATTAATGTTGTCTGCTTAATCAATACCTATTTGAGCATATAGAACTTACAGATTAGTTTTTTTTCTCGGAGGCTTGAATGATCATTTAGTGTAATGTTATATTTTAAAATAGAATTTTGAATATAAAATACTATATTTTAAATTGACACTAACCATTGTCAAACCATAATTTCGTTGTCAATAATTAAGTTAACATTTCATACAACATACTGATTTTCATTTTTTCTTGACATAAAATAATTATGACATCATTTTAGTATCAACTTTTAGATTTAACAGGTTCAAGGGGTTGGCAAAATAGTCCTATGTTAGTGATGAGCTCCATTTTCAAAATAGTGATAAAATTATTGTTTTAGGGGCAGCAAAGTTTGGTTCTTCCTAGTGCACTATTTTTGTTTGAGTTGGCCCTGAGATGAAGAAATATATTTACATTTATATTAAAAAGTAAAGGCCCAAAGATAGAGTTACCATCAGTACTCTTTTGAGCTCTTAAAATTGTTGTACTCTCACTTTTTTGTAGGCCACAATGTACTCTTTTTTACTGTTTATATTTAATTCCAAAATGCCACGCATCTTAATGTACTTACCTAATAAATTTGTAACATACAATTAAAAACATATTATTTATATTTATATTTAATCGACATATTCATTATCGATATTATCCATGCTTTTCCATAAAATAATAGTCAGCTACCATGGGTCCTCTATTCGCTCTACTAGCCTAGTATGGTTTGCTACTTTTTCGTGTATATAACTTAATACTATTTGTAAGTTGTCGAAAATGTTAAGTTAATGGTAAATGAATGAAAGAATACGCAATGTTTGAAAAAACTGATTAGCGTGAGGCTTTCTGTAAAATGCATAGTTTAATTGTTTCATTAGCCAATTAAGATAAAGCTGACCTAATACAACATTTGTCTTCGTCTAAACATTCCAAAAAAATAAAAGTCAATCAGCTAGTGGTTCAAAAGTAGTCAATTTGCTTGTTGTAACACAAAATATAAAACCTGAAGAAAAAATATTAGAAACTGAAGCCTCACGAGCAATGATCCAAGTAATGATAAATACTAAAACTCACATTTACATTTTTTTTACATCTTTATTTTTAATCAAATACTGAAAATTAAAACTAATACTAATAAAAACTAATTATCTATAAAATATAATATAATCGTATTCTGAATCTAGTATTGAGTATTTCATACATAATTTCAATGCAAAAATGTCATGAAATGTTAATTAAATATTAGGTATAAAAGTGGATTTTTTTTCCTTCGTGTATATACTATAATGTACTTTTATTTCAGAGACAAGATCTGGTAACCCTACCAAAGGACCATTTCATGATGTAATCTATGATTTATATTTAATGTTTACTAAAATGATCATGTGTATCTAGTGCTTTTATTTTCTTTCTTTTCCATTTTATAAAAAGTTAACAATTCACCTTTTTCACTGAAACTGTTGCATTCATAATCTTAGTACCAGAAGTATTTTTTACAATGATTTTAACTGCCACAACCCCCTCATTTTACTTTTGATTAATTGGACATATTGCAATTTCAGTTGTCTTGAAGTTTCATTTAGGTACTTTATAAAAGGTATGTCTAGTCTTGAAGTAAAACAGGTTTAAAATATTTATTCGACAAATTTATTTGAGTACCATACTTAAAAGTCTAAATCATCAGGTGATCTAAGTACCAATGGTACTTATAAATATTTTCAATACCCAATGACAATAATATGGCTTTTTTTATATTGTTTGTAATTGAATTTTGTAAGAAAAAATTTGTCAATTTTGATTCAAAAATAGAAATGTCCATTTTGAACATTTCTGTTGATCCTATATGTTGATTGAATTTAATTTTTGAGTTTGTCCTAAAAGTTGCGATTTTGTATTAGTCCAAATACAAGTTATACAATATTCTAATCTTCTAAAGCAATAGCATCTATAATAAATTTTGTAACATAAAATACTATTTTCCTTGTTACCAAATAGTTATGCGTTTCTTATTAGTTTTACTAATATAAATAATAACTCAAAGTATTTTGTAGTTCTTTGTTATTAAATATTTAAATCTTGCATATTTATACTGTAGACGGAAAAGTTGAAGTCAGGATCAGTAACTTGAATGAGTTTGATTCATTAAATATTTAATTCATAAACAATAGTACATTATTTCTGCAACAAACTTCAATAAACATCAATGACAACATTAGGCAAAAAGTGAACTAACTAGTAAAAGAGTAACAGAGTTTAATAGTGGTAATGATAATAATACTGTCGGCAGGTGTCGTGTCCCGTCAACCAGACAATTGATAGCAGCTACACTAGGGACTATAATTACTACAATACTGTATGTGTTTTATTAAAACACTAAAAAGTTAAATAGTTATAACAAATAAGTAATTAGCACAGATCAACAGCTTTGTAAGTAAAATAACAGTCAACATTGACAATAAGCGGAAATCCATTGAAATTTTAGGCTTAGCAATATTTCTAACTTCAATGTGAGTGGTTTCTTGAACCCTCACAAGAGTATAGAGCTGTCTTGTATGTGATATTAGGAGGGCTGATCGCCCCCGATTTCTAATTTTGAGTGCGTGTCAAGACTCAGACAGTAATATTTAATCTTATAAATCAAACAATCATTTTCAAAACATAACAATTTATCACGCAACCAGAAATTTTATTACACATGAGTGTGTATAATAATATAACTGGTCGAACAGATCACTCACATCTGTCATCTGACTCTCTTAACAATATATATGCTACATGAGTATTATACTTGCCTATGGGTAATTATTAATTTGTCTTATCTTGTTACCCAGTATTTGTTGCAGCTTGTGGATGGCCGGTAGCCCATTAAAAATATTCCAGCATTCTTTAATATCACTGCTGAAAAAAACATTAGCCAGTGTATCGTTGGTTTCAACCAATATTGTCAATGTGATCAACACAATAATGTATAATACTCTTGGGGCTGTTTGTTGTGTTATTTGTTTAAGTATATTAAATATTAATTTAATAAATACATTTGAATGATGGGAAAAGATAATTTATTCTTCAATGTTTTAAAAAGTTATATACTATCTGATAGACAGGCATATGTTTTATATTGTAAAATAATATATTTAATTTTGAGGGTAGCCATTTGTTTTTTAGTTTTGGGAGGGAGTGTTGAAGTATTGTTGAGATTAATTTTTTTGCTTATGTTGATGTAACTTGCAAGTATTAACATCCGATTCATTAAAATTATGTTTTCAGGAGATTAATTTTCTTCATACAGTTTCAAAAGAATTACCAAACGCAAATATATTTATTTTGTTCAACCGCTGGGATGAATACGACTCATTTCACCAGGTATAATTTTTGATCATAATATTTTATTATTATTATTATTATTATTATTAAATACCAATTATAATTTATGTTACTATTTTTCCATCGAGTTTAATAGTGAATAACATGTAAATATAAATATGTCTGTCAACATTTTCCAAATTATTAAAAAATTGTATTAAGAAGTGCATTATCATAACAAGATATTTAAAGCTATGGAATTTGCATATTTTAATTTTAAATTTGAGATTTAATAATAATTATTTTAAGTTGCTTGTTTAAAATGTATACATACATATAACTAACATACGCATGTATTGTTTTTATTAGAAATATAAACAAAAAATAAAGCGAAATATAGATTTGCTCAATGAAAAATTGAAAGAATGTACAAATCATGGGCAATATTGTCAAACATTTTTTATTGCTGCTAAGGAAGTCTTAAATGTTCGGATAAAAGGACACAGTGAACTACAGCCAAGTATCGGACCATTAAGTGAAAGATATTTTGAGTTTATAGAGTTTGAAAGACAATTAGAGAATTGTATCTCAACATCAGCACTGTTAAAATTTTTTAACTATTCAATGAATGGAAAATTTATGTTGTCGTAAGATTTATTTTAACTATTATTAATTCGTTATTAATTCGATACTTAAATGTTTTGTATAACTTATAGAAAAATGCATATAATTATGGATATAATCAACGTCAGAATTCTAGAACAAATACATTTAAACACGAGTCAAAAAAATGAAATTGATGATGAATTGAATGTTTCTGCCGAACAATTCGAAATGATAACAATTCCAAATTCACCAATCACTGCTGTTGGTGATTCTTTGACTGTGGAACAAAATTTACCTTTGAAATCTTGGGATGGAAAAACTCAAATTAAATCCTTGGGAGGGATGGTTTTAGCAGGATTTGTAAGTATTATTTTCTAAATGTATGATATTGAATTGGATTTATTTGTAAGCTTCTATTTTTTAGATGTATAAAACAATTGGATGGAGTCCGATCATTGCAACTGCTGCAATTTATGGTGGTCTTTGTTTGTATGAATATTTATCCTCAACAACCAAAGCAATAAAACAATCATTAAAAAATCAAAACGTTGATCGTGCAACTAGCAATGTTCAACCAAGTGTTAGTTTCACATCTGCAAATTATAGTCAACAAGTACAGCAGGAACTACCTACTACTTTTGCGCAATCGGACCAATTATTTGATGAATTGCCGGCTATTAATATCAATGAAGAAATGACATATGCGGACTCTGACTTCAACATATTAACTAACTCAACTGAAACTCCAAATATTTTTGTAAATGATGTAGAATTTTGGTTGAATGAATCTCTTATTCAGTTACACAATTTTTTGGTGGACAGAATATATTTTTTTGATTGAGAAATAAGTCAAAATATAAACAAATTTTTAATACTTTTGAGTTGATTATTTTGGATATTATTTTTAGAGTATGTGTGTTAAGATTATTTTATCGTAATTATATTATTTAACCTTCAGTAGCGTCATAAGTTTATGGCATATTCCGTCGCTCAGGGCAAACATTTTCCTTGATTACACATAATATATTTTTCTTTAACATTTATTCATTTAAAATTTAATAATTTTTATTGTGCCCACATAATAATAAGAAAAGTAATAAATATTTTTAATTTTACATTTATTATTGTTTTATTTTTTACTTATTAGAAAAATGTAATAAATATATTATTTTTCACATCTCACTGTGGACAAACTTCTACTAAGTGTGGTCGCTGCATATAAGTTCTACGCAATAAGTGAATATTTTTGAGTCATTCAAATTTCCTCCCCAAATATTGTCATTATTATTGAAAACGTCTATGTATGCTTCGGTCCCCCAAAGTTCTAATTTATAAATTCAAATACAATATATGGTGGCAAAATAAACGAAAACACTATTTGGTCGCGAGGGGGAAAAATTTGTCAAACTTGTAGACTCACACTTTCAATTCTAGTATTGAACATACTAACAGATAAGACGTTAAACAAACTTATTCTTATCTACTAATGACATATAAATAGAAGCTAGGTAGATAAAGTCTCACCACTCTTATACATACACATGGTTTAAAATTAGTGGGATATCTACCTAATAAATTACCCCTCTCGACATACTGAAGGTAGGAATTGACTTAAATTCCATATTTTATTTAAATTAGCTTACCACTTAGATCTATTAACACACAGTAAATGAAAAAAAAAATCAAAATGTATAATACAATGTTGCTGTAATTATAGTTAAACACATAAAAGATACAAGGCACGATTTTTGACAAAATTCATTAAAATTTGCAAATTACCTTGTAGTTAAAAAATTATAAAATTTTCAATTTTTATAACTATAAGGACTGAAAATGTAGAACAACGTTTCTAATAAATGGTCTATACTGTAACCAAAAAAATGTATAAAACTATAAACTCAGTTTTTATTACAGATACCTATTTTACGTTCACATTTGGTCAAAATTGAATAGTTGATTAAACATAGAATAACAATTTCAGTTATTTTGTTGTATTTAAAAAATATTATGTTTAATAATATTAATAATATAAATTACTCCAATCTCAACTATATCAAAAAATATTCTTAGTAATATTATAGGCCTACGACGGTCTTCGCTTAGAATCGTTTTTCACGTGCAATAATTTTGTATAGTTGAACACGTCTGTTACAGCGGCTTTTCCTAATACAGTTACGAGATATTGCATTAAATTTGTATTATTGTATTAAGTTAATAGTATTTTTGGATTTTTAATGTTTATGTATTGTTGGTAGTCAGTGTCGCCCTGGCACATTAAAGACCCACGGATTAGTTTTTATGGAGCCCCATAATGGACTTGGATCTTGTAAAGAAAAAAATGTTGTAGAGTTAAAAATTTTTATAGATACTTTACGGAGTTCCTACTCCCTGCATAGATACCAAGCAAGTAAAAAAATTGAAGGGACCCTAAATAAAAAAACGGAAAGTGGATGTCACTCTGCTGTAGGTACTGAATGTTTGAGTGGGTCACTGTGTTAAATTTGAATTCAATGATATAAAATCATTGTATACGAAAAACAATTCTGAGCGAAGACTGTCTGTTAGGATAATATAATTATCCTTAGTATTTAGTACATTACATCATTGTGATTTATTTTACTATTATTTATTAAGTAGTAGTATTTATTAGTAGCACTATAGATTAAATTCATTTTTTACCAAATAAATACATCTAAAAAGTTATTGTGTGTATAATAATAATATACACTAAATGTTTCAAGTACCCACGAGTAATATTTTTAAATTACAACAAAATAACTTAAATCTATATTATTTTTTATTTAATACGTAATTTCGTTCACATTTGAATATAAAACATTTATTAAAGAAACGGTGCTTATATATTTTTAGAGTTTTGGTTACAAAAAAAATAATAACCTACTCACGTAGAACATTGATTTAAATTTTGAAACCTCAACTATAAAAGTTTAAAAATGTAAAACTATAAAATCATTTGTAAATTTTGTCAAAATTTGAACTTTAAATGCTTTAAAAAAAAATTGAGCATATTTTTAATATTTTCGAATAATATTGTAACAATATATCAGGGGCCTTGTATTAAATTTTCACAATTTTTGACCCAAAAAATAAAATTTTACATTTAAAAAAAAAAACTAAAAACTAATAAATTTAAAATGTCCGTAAACAGCTCAAAACGAGTCAAAATATTTTGAACAATAGGAGTCAAGCTTATGAATTGATAAGATAAATTTATATTATAAATTTATATTTTATATATATTTATATAGTGTAAATTTCAAGTTTCTACATTTATTCGTTTTTGAATAAGAACAAATTAGGAAAATCGTTACATGAGAAATCAAGTAAATATCCATTTTGTTCTAAAAATTCAAAAGCTAAAAATAAGATTTTATTTTACTTTCCAGTAGAAATTTTTTTGACAAAGGTATACGAACATTAAACTTATAAGGAATTTTGTTTACATTTTAAAGTCTTAGGTATAAAAAGAAACATTCTTATGAATTTCTAACTGAAAATAATTTGCAATTCTTCATTCAGATAGTGTTTTTTTTTTTTTAATTTTCACTAACAGCAACTTCTGAAGAGAACCTTGTGTTACATTTTCAAGTTTTTTAACCGAGCGAAAATTTTTTTGTTAATATTAGTTTAAAAAAACCAATAATAATCAAAAATTGAGTGTAAATCCACAAGGATTTTTTATGAGCGTCTGAAGTTAGAATTTTGACAAAATCATGAAAATTATCCTTTGATATAGATCATCTAAGGATAGATAATTAAAAACAAGGATTCTCATATAAATAGTTTATACTGCAACCAACAAATCTTAATATTTGATATATAAACACAATTTTTATAGGCATTTTAATTTTTAAGTTCAAATTAGGACCGAAATATTATTTGTGGGTACCTACTTAAAATAAAATATAAAATATATATAGATAAATATATAAATAAATTAAGGATATATTATTATAATTTATATTTCACACAGGGACATTTTCAAATACAATTTTTTTGAAAAAATTAATTTAACCTAATGTAGTAATAATGCCTGATTGTAAAATAAATTACTTAATAACAATAATATCACTAGATATACCCACTTATAGTAGGTATTTAATTAGGACGACTTTACTGAGAATCGTTCGTCTTATACTTGATTTTATGCCTTTGAATTCAAATTTAATACATAAATTACTGTGGCTCCTATATAGACACCTTATTATAATGTACAACAAATCGGCGTCCATGGTATTTTTAATTTAAATATTATGTATTATTTTTAAATCAACTAAAAAATCTAAGTACTTTCAACAGCTAATTAAACCAACGAAGTTCTCAAGGCAAGTATAAAATCAACTAACTAGTTAATGCCCACCTGGGGTGTAAACATTTTCTGTTGACGGTGCAAATTACAAGTGCTATGAGTAGCGCGAATCATCACCACCCACAATATTGTCAGAGTACATTTATATAATAATATGTTACTGTAATTTAACCCTATAGGTAATATTAAAAACAACGATGGTAAAAATTTAGCATCATTTATTTCGTCACATGCACACTATGGCCTGCGTAATAATGTCGTTAGGTTTATTCTTCGTCGTCGCCGATGTCCGGCCCATTGACGGTCGCCTCCTGGTACATCTGGTACTCAGAAACCAGATCGTGCATGTCGGACTCGGCCTCGGTGAACTCCATCTCGTCCATGCCCTCGCCCGTGTACCAGTGCAAGAACGCCTTTCGCCTGAACATGGCGGTGAACTGCAGTGACACCCGCTTGAACATCTCCTGGATGGCGGTCGTGTTGCCGACAAACGTGGCCGACATCTTGAGGCCCCTGGGCGGTATGTCGCACACTGCGGTCTTGGTGTTGTTTGGTATCCACTCGACAAAGTGGCTGGAGTTTTTGGTCTGCACGTTGAGCATCTGCTCGTCCACCTCCTTCATGGACATGCGGCCTCGGAATATGCTGGCGGCTGTCAGGTACCGGCCGTTTTGGGGGCTGCACGCGGCCATCATGTTCTTGGAGTCGAACATCTGCTGGACCAGTTGCGAGACGGACAGTGCCCGGTACGGTTGGCCGCCGCGGGACGTGAGCGGCGCGAACCCAGTGATGAAGAAGTGCAGCCGCGGGAAGGGCACCATGTTGACAGACAGCTTCCGGAGGTCGGTGTTCAGTTGCCCAGGGAACCGGAAGCACGTGGTCACTCCACACATGACCGCTGACACCAGGTGGTTCAGATCGCCGTACGTGGGTGTGTTCAGCTTCAGCGTCCGGAAGCAAATGTCGTACAGTGCTTCGTTGTCGATGCAATACGTCTGGTCGGTGTTCTCCATCAGCTGGTGCACGGACAGCGTCGTGTTGTACGGTTCCACGACGGTGTCAGACACCTATTATATACAATGCGTTGATAAATCGTCTTTTAAATCTCTCGCTATTAATGTTATATTTTTACCATAGAGCTCAGAAGTTATAAAAGCTAAAATGGATAAAATAATTATATACAAAAGAAGTAAAACTCTAAAATATGTGAAATATGAAAAAAAAAAAAGTATAAATTAATTATTATGTATTAACAATGTTTGTTGTAGTAAGTCGTCATTAAAATAAACATAGATTTATCAAATGACTGAAAAATCTGATTTGTGGAGAACTGCAGTTGCCGGTCAGCAATGTTATACCTACTTAGTTATTGAACTGAAAAAATATTATCTATAATGTAGTATTCATAAAAATGTACTAAAACTTAAATATTGATTGAGTACAAATATTGAAGTTGTAATAAAATAAAAAAAAAATTTTTTTTAGAAAAGATTAAATACCAAGAATTTTGAGTAACATTTTTCATTTTAGATTTTCAAACGCACATCGTTATATTATAGAATGGACTTTTAGCTAGGTCTGCAATAAATTAAGAACATATAAAAAAGTATACGACTGCTAAGTATACAACTTCCAAGCCCTATTTGTTATTAATATGAACCATAGGGCGGTGTATGGCGAAACTTTAGTGTCGTGTTAGGTACGTACAGGCTGCATGTAGGTACGCAGCATGGTGGGCA